CGTAGATCATGATGTTCTGTTAGAATCGCTGAAAACTGTTTTTCAAAATTCGCAGCGGGTAGTGTACAGCATCGATTTCTGTGGAACCCAGTAGCTGTCAAAACTTTCACATTTTTACGAATAACTCGGAAATCGTAAATTTTTCAGGTAAAACGTTTGACACAAACTTAACTTAAATTTTGACGACAAATCTGAAAATGAATGAAAAAAGGGGCGGTTTCATTTAAAAAACCAAAGTTGGTAACTACCACACGTTTATGATACACCCCGTATATTGGAAAGTAATTTTAAAATGTGGACCTTTTAAACATGAAAAACTTTCGTAGGACGTATTTTCTTGTAAAGTTCATATTTACTGAGATATCGCACTTTGACGCACTAATGAGCAACCCTGTATGTGTACATATAGATATATGTACACTCTCACTATCTTGTATAACAGATGGTATATAAGATAATCTAGTTTCTAAAGGAAAAACGTTAAAGATCAACGGAAAAAAGCTTTTAGTTTTGAAAAATATGTTTTGAAACAAAAACCTTTTCTCTGCGATATTGCAATTGTGCAAAGAGAGTCGTTTTCATCCCAATTTAAAATAGGATTTAAAACTTGCTTTGATTTGACGAAAAAGCAATGGCGTGCCTAATTTACTGCATTGTATTTCCGTTTCACATCTGCTTTTTGTGTATATGTTACATACTTACATTTGGTAAGAAACACCAAGGAAATTAAATGAAAAATTTTCTCTTTAAAAGTTGCAGCCAATAGTTCTTCTCTGCCTAATCCGGCAGCCATGGTAGTTTATCCATAGTGCTACAAATATTTATCTAAATGAATGAATAACGAATAACTGCAACATAAGACATAATTATTTAAACGATTGAATATATTCGGGTAACGCAAAGTTTAACCATATTTCAAAGTTGGGTACTAGAAGCAAAAACTACGCCTTGTTGGCGACTCAATTAAAAAAATGTTCCATTTACAAATCTTATAACAATTTGACGTGTTAATAATCACGAATTATTGTTAAATAACTCTACGTGCGGGAGTTTCCATGAGCTTCACAATTTAAGCAAAGTGAATGCTTTCAATGCTGTAACTTGAAATTTTCAATAATGTAGTTACACACTCTAATGTATAATTTCTATTTAACCGATTACACTTACGCTTTTTCTTTTTCGCTCTCACTGTTAGGACGTTTTCTGTACTTTCCATTCAATATTTTTACTAAAAAACGAACCAAGAAGTAGCAAACGGCGAAAGAAATTGACAAATACAATGACAACTTCAAAAAAATCCGAAATTTCTGCTCGAAAAATCAAATATCCGAATATACAGAGCGGCATTTCTGTTCAAAGTTCAAATCGAATAGTACACTGACTGAGTTGACCCGTTATTGCCTATTTCTCGTTAACTTCGCATGGGCGACAGAGATAAATAGATGCTATTGGATTGTGTCAACCGACCCAATCAACGCGAATAAAAATTTGCCTGTTGATAGTTAGTATAGAATATAGACAATTTGTTTATAGTTAGGCAATAAAAAGACAAAATCGCAGATAGATTTTTTTATATTGAGAATGTTACTTTTAATAACTTATTGTTATTAAAAAATAGACCAGTGCAAGGGTTAAAAATGTAATTTAAATAAGTCTTATGAGTTACACTCTCATCTTTTTGAGAATTTTTTAAAATATAAATTTAAATTTGCCGCCATTCGGCATTCAAGTGCCCAATATGACAGGCAAAACATCTGTTAGGAATTTATGCCAGCCAGTTCTCAGTTTAGAGGTTATTATTTACAGCACCCTATTCGTATTTCGTTGTTTATTGGTTTGCAAACCAATTTTTGCAGATTAATCTCGTAAGTATCGCAAACTTCGCCGCCAATTTTCGAACAGCATGCAAACATTCAAAACGCAATCAAGGCACTTCCGTTCTAAACAGGAAAAGGAAACTACTGTCCAAAAGGGAGACTGGTGTTTTCCTGTTTTGAAAATTCAAAAATCGGCAATAATAATCACCTTTAAACAAACTTTCGAACTTTTAAGAACCAACTTGCACTTTGCAATGCTGCGGAATTTATGTAGATTTCGTTATTTCAGGAAATGATCAAAATTTTTGAAAATGGAACGAGACCGATCAAATACATACTAACTGGAGATGATACATACCAAGAACTTCCTGAAGTGGTAAGTTTCATGTTTACCAACTACTTTTCATGTTTTCTGTTTTCAACCCTCATTAATCAGTATATCGAAAAAATGCATAGTTTTCAGTTAAAACACACCCGAAACAACATTTAAGGTTCAACCCCTTGACATTTGTGTCTCTCACAACTAATTAATTAATTATTAACTATGAAAATCTTGAAGTAAACTGCGAATTGGTATTAGAAATGCATTTTTTGTTCATTCATTAACAAAATAAAGTTGCCTACTTTCCTCTGTTAATTTACTATTCAATCTTCGACAATGGGGACTAAAAACAACCAATTAAGCGTATTAGTAATACTTAGGCTGGATTTTGTTATATTGCAGGATACGGTTAATAATTCCCCTTTAGCAAACATCAATGAACTGGGAAAACAACTTCTTAAATTTGCTTTTGAAGGCAACATACGAGAGGTGCGGGCGTTATTGGCTCAAGGGTCTCCTTTGATTTCTGATTGGGTAAAAATCACTATAGTGGTATAAACAGTATTATAAACATGTCTCTTACCTTCGTATAGTTGGGGACTAGTCCTTTGCATTTAGCCGCCCAAAATAACAATGTTGAGGTATGTGAGGCACTATTGAAAGGTGGAATTCTTAAAGATGCTAGAAATAAAGTGGACAGAACACCACTGCACTTAGCTGCTTATGAAGGTCACTATGGCACAACTGAGACACTGTTGAAACATGGGGCGGATATTAATTGTAAGGATATGGTAAGGGAAACTGTTCTTAACTTTTTTCTCAAGTTCTTTTAACAAACAATATATAATTACAATTTTAAATCAATGCACTGCGGTATAAATACAATTTTTCTAAGTAAAGTTAAACAATTCACATCTGAACATGCTTTGATTCTTCTGAATTAGTGGTGAGGCAAAGCAAAGCCAAGTCTTTCACACAGAGTGTTGGTTTTGTTCACCAAAATACAGTCTCGGTCTTGGTCTTTTTGTAAGACTAAGGCCAGTATCGCTCATCACTATTCCCAATATAGATACCTATTTAGATAGGATTTTTCAGTTAAATATGACGCCGCTCCATTGGGCTGTACAAAATGGACATACGGCTGTGGTTGAGCTTCTACTCAGAAATGGAGCTGACATTAGTACGAAAAACAAGTTTGATCTCACCCCTCAGGATATTGCACTTCAGATTGATAACATGGAAATGGTGGAATTGCTACAAGGTATTGTAATTGATCGCAATAATTCTGTTTCACTGTTTTGCTTCAATTTAAAATCCACAAATACTCATTGAAACAACTAGAACATCAAGGTTGAAATATCCGCACTGCCTTATTTCACTGCGCATTTCAATTAGAAAGTTCACTTAATTGAATATTTCAATTACTTTTATAGTTTACGAGAGCAATTCGGAAGCTGTTGCCCAGTCACTAATGATGCAACTTAATGGAGAAGACCTTAATAGTCATATAGTGGAAATCAGTGAAGAAAATAGCAACGTAAATCAATTAGGTAAAACATTTAAAAAAATATAAAGGCCTTTATTTAAATTTCACAACAACAAAAATCATTTGGCACAGAAATACGTAGTGTTTATTTTCAGATCCTGTTATTATTGTAGGCGATGAACAGTTTCGAACTATAGAGAACAATAACGGTAAGTTACAAAAATGAAACAATATACAGGGTGTCCAAGATAAGCATGCATTGCATGGGGATCTCCGATACCGTAAGAGATACGAAGTCGGTTAAATATAAAATACTGTCTCATACTTGATTTTCGAAAATGCCATGTATTCCCTCTCTAATTGCGCAACTTTTTCCTAATTTAACAGACTCCCTCCTTATCTTGGTCACCCTGTATTTGGTTAATACATTGATTCAAAAGCTTGGTCACAATTTAAGTCTTCGTTCGTTGTGTATGATTTTAGAGCATCTGTTATTTAATATTGGAAACAATATGACTGTAAACTGCCGGTCCCCTCTTAACAACAAAGGTAAGTAACTTACTTATCTTTCAAACCGAACTTGTTAATAACCTTTCTTGTTTTTAGATCAAGTATTTATTAATTTAAAAGAAAAAGTAAATTCAGAAATCCCTGAAGTCAACCAAAAAGGTGCGTATTATTTGAAATCAGCCGTTATGAGTTTCTATAACCAAATAATTTTAAAATTTAGTTAACAGAATCAATGGAACGACAATATCAGACTTCAAAATTGATAGATTGCTGGAACCTGAAGAGGACAGTCGGTTTGCCGCAATTCAATTATTACAGGAGCATGGAATTTCAATGCTCCCAAATGATACAGAAGAAGAGAGTAGTATTTTGAACGCAGTGATGGAGAGCGGACATTCCGTTGTTTTAACAGGTATACATCAATTTGAATTACACCCAAAATTAATAATTCTTATCTAATTATCTAAATTGGAATATTGTAAAGCAGGTTGTCTTTTTTTGCTTCCAGATGTTGGTAAAGAGGTATTAAATACTGTTAAGCAACAGGAAGAAAAACGAACACAGCCCAAACCAAAACCAAAGAAAATCATTACCGTTTCACCAGAACAGTTTCTGTCTTTAACTAATGGACAACTAATTAGGAACACAAATATACAAGAACCGTATAAAGTCATACCATTGAAGTCAGGCGTTCGCAGAATTTACATGAAGAAAAGTCGACCAACGCCATTTGGAAACATGATAAAGGTTTGATTTTTATTTTATAATTTAGTTAAAGCTCAGTTTAAAAATTTAACATTTTATTACAATCAAATATTTTGTTTTTGTATCATTTTAGCTTCAATGTGTTAAAAAACCAAAAACTGAACTAGAAAAGGTAAGAGACGAGTTGGCACAGGCCAAAAAGGAAATCGAAGATTACAAGTGGAAATTAACGAGAAAAGACAGCGAAATAGAACGATACAAAACTCAATTAAAATTGTTGATGCACAGTTAGCATCTCATGATAAATATATAACATCGATATTAGTAAAATAAACGTCAAAGCTCATACATTGTTATAATACTTCAAATGCAACTTAACCCCGGATGCAGACGAACTGGCTATTGTTGGGATACTTATTTGAAAAGTACAAACTCTATTCGTCAAATTGTTGTAAATTGAATAATTTATTGTATCGATTAAAATTCCTGTAATATTCATTTATACTCAAGTAGTATGAAATTAAAATTGTCTTACGGTTTCACCGATGATATTAGTATTGTAATATTTTGGTTCTTCTGCAATCTGCTGTTCATTTGCTTCATTGCCATATCATAAATCGACATGTAACGTAAGTTAACATATTTTTGTACAATTTTGTAAATATAGTAATAAGTTATTGAGAAATCATAAAATATTGTTCTTTAGCACCATTTTTTGACCTTTTCCATTCGGTCGGATAAAAATTTAGTAGTAAAAATCGAACTCAGCTATAATAATGAGCCTGAATCAGTGAAGCTCTTCTTAACACGGAGTTATAATTAATGGCCGATTGCACCCCTGCAAGTTAATCCAGCGTTTATTTAAATCGCGATAATAACTAAATTAAATTTAATTTAGTTATGAAGTTAAACCTCAGTTGAAATATGTCTTGCACCGGATATTATCCTTTAAAAACGTGCTATTATTCTACACGTCGTAGATTGGTTAAACTGTAAAATCTGTCACTGCAGTTTAAATGTCCTGAACTTGAGTACAATCTTAGAGTAGTCAGGAGCTGATTCAAAGAAGAGATACTATTGTTTCTTAAACATAGAAACACTTTCTCAATACACCCTCATTTACGTATTTTTATTTATAGGCCACCTATATAGGGCGGGAGGGCCAAAGTTCGTGTATAAAAATTAAAATCCACTTAGAGCTGTTTGTTTAACGTTTAAAGTTTAACTGACGGTTTAAGTCGAATGGGCTTGATAAACCAGGTTTAGCGCTAAACCTAAGTGAAAATACGACGGTGCAATCGGCCATAAAACGCACTTCTTAAACACGTATGGGGCTATACACATATATAACGAGATTCCTCTTTAATATTGATAAAATTTAATATTAAAAACAATACATATAAATAAATGTGAGAATAAATAAAATATATATGTAGTATAATCAAATAACAGATTACACGTGGCTGTGTTATAACCACGCTATAGATATATATCAACGGCAAGTTCCTTCGATTGAGCATAAAGTTGATTGGGTACAGTGTCAGTCTATGTCAAAACACTTTTTTATTATGAAAAACTCTCAAGTTAGTAAAATAATACTCACCACGCATAACAAATAAAAATTATGTTAAATATCAACAAATGTTTTTGGAAAATTTAATTCGGGTGTCTAACTCCAAATTATTTAACAACGTGAAATTGGAATGTGGCATTTCGTGATACAACTCTTTGCAATAGTTTATCACCCAACTCTTTTGAAACTTCATGCCAAACACATTTTCCTATTATTGGCACCTCTTCTAAAGGTGCTCGAAATGAAACTAACAGTGTTAAGCACACACCATCTTTACCATCTCTTGCATCATGTTCGATCTAAAAGACAAGACAAAAATAGATCAGAATAGATACAGAATAGAGTAAATAAGATCAATTAGCATTTTTAATGAAAACCATATACATTATACATACCAGATAAGTACAACGTTATATGAAATTTGTATTTAGTTTCGGTTTAGTTGACGGGCTTTTACTATTTAGCTTACTTTACTTACCGAGAGCAGTCCATGCGGTTTGTGAGTAGGCACTTCGGCCCCAAACAAATCGACCATGAACTTTCGTAAAGTCGAATGGAAACTTTTTCCAGGATTAATTTGGCATGTTGGTAGATGCCACGAGGTGCGTTCGCTCAGCAAAATGTGAACTCGGTTCGTTGCCTTTTTTTTAATTACAATAACTAAACGTAGAAGAAGGTGGGCATACGCTCTTAAAGACGGAAGTTGATCTAGATGCCAAGTAGGGTCCCTGGTTTTACGTGCATGCACATACGATCTGCAAAATAAAAGACGCTCAATTATTCCATGCGTCCCAACAAAAAAGTAACAAGAAGTAAGATGGTCAAAAAGTTTTTTGTCTATGTTATAAAGTATCATCGTTCAAAAGCTGCATTTGGAGAGTTGAAATTATATCAAATGTGCTCAAACATTGTACTAAATAATAAAATAAAAAATTAATTTAAAATATTTAATTAACGTTTTGAGGGAAAATATAAGAACCTCAACACCACTATAAATTATGTGTATATAAATAAATTTTAACGTTAGTTAGCGCCAGAACAGCTTGCTGAGTTTAGAAAATGTGAGTAAGTAATAATTTTACCTTTTTCATTAAAAAAAGTACGAAATGCAAGTATAAATATTTATTGGCAAATCTTCTTCTAAGTTTATTTGCGCCTATAATGTAAACAGAACTGAAGTATTTCATTTATAAAAAACCAGTTTGTTAGTAAAATTTTTCAATCATCCGAGGACGCAAGTACGTAAATGTTTGTACCTGCAAAATTCCAAGATATAAAAGTAAGTCAAAAATTTCACCAAAATTTCAAACTACTCAACAAAAATTAAAGCAAATACGGAATGGAATCGAAGATTACCTGTTACTTGCAAGTGAATTTCCACACAGTAAAATATATCGCACTAACTTCAACAACATCGATTTGGTGCCAATAATAATGAAAAATTTAATAAAGGAAGCCTCATCATCCTATGTAAGTAAACTTTGTAAACCTCATCATCCTATGTAACTTAAAGTGATTGCAAATTCATAAAGTGATACATTTATTCTACGCATTTTAGCATATTTTAGTTTGTTCTGATTAGCAATGTAAAACTTAAAAATGCACGCAGTCTTCTTCTCTCAGATGTGCCCCTTAAGTTTTAAATTTGATGATTTCATTTTAGTTTCGTAATAGCCTTATAATATAAAGCGATTATAAATAAATGTATTATGTATATATTAATTTAAATTAAAATTGCTGTTGTTTGCAGCTCCAGCAAGAAGCTTGGGAGGACACATTGGAATATACAGATAATTTTAAATATATTATTAAGCAGAGGGAATTATTTCGAATTCCATTCTTGCATAATTCACCACAGGTTTGCATCATATTATAAAACCTAGATGTAGTAGCTGCATGTTTGAAAGGTTTATTAAATCGCAACCATTAAACATATTCAATGAATTATTTAAAATGTTATAAAGTCTAACTAATAATAATGTAGGAGATTTGGTAAGGCGATGCATTTCTTGCTAAGGACTACAGTACAAGTTAGTTTCGATATATTTCTTTAAAAGACCATTTTTATAATATTGTTAATTTGCAACATACATAGTATAGGCGTTTACGTTTTAATTAAAAGGTCAAATTTAATAATCTGGCGAAAATTCATATAGGACTGAAATGTACACTAAAAACACTTGTTTCTTGTAGGAGGCGCGATTCTTTTGATGATATCAAGTAAATAATTAGAGATGCATTTAATGAAATTTTCGAACAAACTTTATTAGATGTTATGGAAAGTAACGAAAAACGAATACAATTGTGTATTTACCATCATGGAAGTACATTTGAACAACTAGGGATTTTTTAAACATTAAATATTTTAGTGTACGCTTTAAATTTAAAATAAAATGTAGAGTTCCATTGAAAAATATGGTCGGATCTTGTACCGAAATTTAAAGTGTCGCTCTGCAGAATCATCCTGTACCTTCTTATAATGAGATTCGCAGTTAATTTTTGGTTCAATTTACCAATCATCTCATGTAATAATCTATAATTTAATGGTGAAGATATGTTCATTCTTTATTGAAAATCTTATCCATTTTCAGCTTGGTTATAGACTAGGCGTAGTGAAATATTTACGAAATTTATGTGCTAACAAAAAGTTTAGTATCTGCTGCTTGCATTTGGCCGTATATCTTCTGGATATTTTCATGGATTGTCACAGTATTAAGCCAGATGAAATTGTACTATTAGCCAATGTTTGCGTATTGTTAGCAGGTAGGAAGTTTTGTTCAAATTTCTCAATGTTACATTTTTTTTTAAATT